AAGAGATATCGTTTCACAATTAGTATTGTGAAGTCACCGAAAATAATGCGAAATGGTTTAGCATTTTAAAAAACACATGTGACATTTGTAGATAAATAAAATTAAAAAGAGAATATATAATTCAGATTATTATTTGCGCGAAATTGGTTGTTGGTCGAAAGCAAGCGAATATGACGTAGAAGGTGAATGAATAATGCTAATGTTTCTTGGTGGGAGGCAATTCTTTTTTCGACGAAACAAAATTCCTGCGGAGAAGTATGTCAACGTAACGGGAATCTATCGAATATTTAAACTGCAAATATCGGACGAGCCTAGATCTTTTTCCCGATGTGACGTTAACCTCGGTGCAATCATTATGCAATAGAGGAAACAATTCGCCACACGCGAAACTCGCGATCGAAAGCAAGGACGTGTGCCTATTAGTATCAGTTATCAGCAGCTGAAGAGAGTCGGCATAGGCAATTACATTTGATTACGCGACACGAAAGAGCGACCATATGTTCCTCTTTCCTCAAGTATTATATCACCCGCGGGCGATAGAAATCAATAAGAGCGTTGAATTTATATCAAACCGGAGATGTTATCGAAATAATTGTATAATTTGTATAAGCACTCACGAATGTAAGAATATAGTCGTGACTTTATCAAAACAAAGTGTAGGTCAAGGTAATAAAAAAACAGAAAAGTTTTGTTAACAGTTTCAAAAATTGATTGTGTATAAATAGTAATAACAACAACGAAGAAATTTTCACATTCATTTTTCTGATTGCGCATAAAAGAATCCTCGATATTTATCGATATTTAATTTAACAGCTTCGGGAAGTCGAGTCGTTAGACTTTCAAACCGGCTCTATTAGCTTATGCGATATCTTTTTTTCTGTGGCTCGTGTACGTTTCTACTTAATTACCAGATGCGTGTCGCAAGTAAGGAAGGTCGGGGGAAATAAGCGGTGAACGAAGGAGGCGAAAGACCACGCGGAAAGAACGTATTCTATTTATACATCGCCGTTCGCGGTCACGAATTCCCAGGCGAGAAAGCGAATCGTCACGTTTAGATGAACAGCCAAATTGCCAATCATACAGAAAGAGGGAAAGAAGGAAAGAAACGCCATTGCACGCGAAGCGACACGAGATACGTCAATCAGTATCTCGATTAATTAAATACTTAGCGCACTCTCTTTCTTCGAAGTCCAGAAAAAGAATCTTGAAGAGAGAAGAAGAAAATTAAATTTAATATGAGATAAAATCATGCGCAAAAATTTGATTTACATTAAAACCTACGTCAACTTTTGCTCAAACTTGATTTTTATAATTTTAAAAATTTATTATTTTAACAACGATTTGAGTTGACTACTTTCGAATTTTTCATGTCGCAAACATCCTCTAATTAAAGAAAAACGTCTTGACGACGCAACGTTGACCGGTCCCGTTATCGTTAAATCGCAAGACGGTAGGCGAGCTGGACTTGTCGCTTTACCAGCCATACCGGGCGTACCGATCGATTCCTGTTACTTTGTCGAATGTACATTCCGATGTGCGCGCGTTCCAGAAGGCGCGAATATACGGAGACAGAGGCGGGGGCAAGGAATGACGTGTGAAAGGAACGCGTATACCCTCACCAGGAGAAACGACGATAAAATTTTGCGCTCGATTTTCTCGATGGTCCACCGTTTTCCTCTTCCTCGAGAATTTCGCTGATTCGCTCTCCACGCAATTGTAATCGCGACAAGTGCACGGAC